ATATTTAATATATATAAATAATATAATAATACATATAAATACCATTATCACTGCTGTAATCATCATAATGGTCACTATCATCATCGCTGTCTTCATATCCTTCATCGTGGCTAAGAGGATCAGGACAAAGCGGATCTGGACTCAGTGCGCCACCAGTACTCAAACTACTTGTCGATCCTGCCTCCACCAAACTACCAGTACTTAACAGATGTTGACGTGGTTCCCTATGAGACCAGATCTGATCCAAATGCCCCATTGTCTGAGTTGGCGCGGACATAGAGAGTCTCGAAACTTTAGGTTTACCACTTATTGTGGAGATATCCATTTGATTGGATACTGGATTATTAAGTGAATTTTCACCTCTTCTCATAAGTAGTTCGTGTAAAGTGGATGATCCAAGATGCTGCCCTGGAGGATGTGGAGAAGTTGATGAACTTGCTGTGGAACTACCTATATGAATTATAGGAACATTTTCGTCTTTATTATAAAAAAACAATAAATAATAGATTATATTTACGAATCAGTTACAAATATATTTATATTAGAAAATGTACTACTATTACTATTATAATCTGTGATTATTTTTACATTAAATTATTTTTTAAATGTCAAACCTGCAATGTTGCCAGTGCCTGGACTAGGAAATGCAATAGGAACAGGTTCTGCATTATCCACAACAGTTGAACTTCTATTAAAAGCATATGTATTTGTATATGTGGGACAACTTCGATGAGTTAATCCAGATTGAGGAAAACTACTAGGTGCAAATCCTATGCCGCTAGTGCTAAATAGAGAGCCGGACAATGGAGGAGCAGTCTCTATTTTTATAGGCTGCACCCTTTCTTCGGGCAACAACAGATCATCGAAACTTAGATCTCCCAATTGTAGCGTCTCATCATTGGCGTTTAATGCGGCAAGGGTCGGGCCCTGAATTAGTTCCGCTTTGTCTACTTGGAATATATCATCCTCGTCCATGTTAAGTGAAATGTCCAGCGGATCCGGATCCATTTTAAAAGGATATTCCATCTGTTCACTCCTCATATCCCATCCAGAAGAGAGAGTCAGAGGTGAAGGAGAGAACTGATCGTACGCTCCTCGCGTAGTTCCTCTGTGTCCTCCGGGTATCGGTACAGATGCCGACGCCGAGCCCATTTCCTGGGCAGGTTCCTGCTTCACTACGCTGTCCATTGTGTTAGCTAGGGAAAAGTCGCTGTACTTAGAATTGTTCATTAGCGACACGTGCTGCAACGATAAATGTGAGGATGACGCTGCGTGCTTATATACTCTAAAAATTGCTACTCCACAAGGTGGTACATAAAAATTCGCTAGATAAGAAAAATCATCGATCCCAGTCTCGATGTATCCGATCCAACTTGTCGATGCGTGTCGAGACCAATATCACGTGCACGCGGCTATAATTTGTCGCGTGTTCTTACGCGCGAATTCGCAGCAGGCTCGAAAACGGCGAATAGAACAGAACGCGGACAATGAAAAAAAAATGCACGCGGCCAATCGTCCATCGAACAACTCCGATTTTGACTCGTCCGTGTTCGATCGATTCCACAATCTCGCGTCCGCAATGATACACAAGGGAACGGTCGGAGAATAATTTTCTCTCTCTCTCTCTCTCTTTTCCTTTTTCTCTTTCTCTCTCTCTCTCTATTTTTTTGGAAAATTCCGACAGAGCTGATAGAATTGGGAAAAACAGCGGTAAACACACACGTCGAAATCACATATTGGTCCACGCGCGTTCATAGTACGCACGCATCACGATTCTCATTAGCAGGCATTTTCCGCGGCTGACAACATCGCGACGAGATTGCAAAGCCCAGATTGAGTTTCACTTTTCCCAGTCTAGTCGATTCTTCCCCGACGAAATCTGCGACGATCGAGATCGAGTACGGATTGATCGCGATGTTTCAGACGGAGAGGCGTCGTACGACAAATGATCGCGCAAACGGCCGAAAAATCGCGAGAAACGCGAAGTTACGATGTATGTTGTTTGTTATTGTTTTGCCACGAGACTGCGAGGCCAAGTGATCGGTGATGTTTGCATAGAGGAAAGGGTCACATGACACATCGTCGCGAAATAACATCGGCCAATCGCGCGCCGTTATTCCACTGTACTCAGCCCGCACTTTTTTGCGACCGATGTAACTTGGCGAGAATTTTCATTCTAATATTATTGCCTCGTACGCATACGTATGCGTACTTACGCGCACGTAAAAGTCGCGAAGACATTGCGGATTCCAAGGACGCGATCACCTGATCAATCCACTCTGGTTGGTTTTTTCTTTTTCTCGCATGTGTTTAGTCGTACATGTAAATAAGATTTCAAATTCTATCGTCGGATTATTTACACGTACGGAACATCTTCGTCTCTTTTTTTTTTTTTTTTTTAATTAGCATATTTTTCTTATTTTTCTGTTTGTTAATCTTTCTAGTGGTATTTTCTTCTATTGACTTGGCAAGACTGTTTTCAAGCCAATGAGGACAAATGGACAAAGGGATGAATTCTTGTATATGATTGGTCGATGTAAATCGTACTATACGAATCATTTTATCCAGGATGCGTTCCGATATTCACTGCCAATATTGAAAATCTATAGTGTACGTGACGTAAACTATAGATTTTCTATACTGGCAATGAATATCGGAAAGCCCGTATCAGACTACGCATTGAAAATTGAAGATTGAAGATTAAAGATTGGAATTTGACTAATCAGAACAAAAAGGACTAAAATTTCTTTATTCTGATTGGTCAAATTTCAATCTTGAATCTTGAATCTCAATCGTCAATGCGTAGTCTGATACGGGCAGAACGCAAACCCAGATTGTGCTATATTCTATATATGTATACTTTATGCACGTATGGGAAAAGGACAGAAATATTTCTTTTATTTCTACAATTATTTGACAATTTGTATCAGAGGACATAAATGCATAACATAATAATAAAATATATAGACGGAGCATTTAGTTGTATGTATCTAACGGCGTCTAAAATATTATTGAGCCAATTGTTGTATTCGCGCACAATTTGAATCATCTGAAATCGTGGAAAAATAAGTCACTACACTTGTCAAAAAAGCATCGCAATTGTTGCTGTTTTTGTTTTTACTTTTTCGCGCGAATAAATTTTAAATTATTTTTGCATAATTCCCGATTTTTTCGAAATGTATTTCATCATTTAAGATACCACTTTTTTGATTACAGATCAGAGTTCAAAAGAAGGAAAATAAAGGAAAGAGAGAAAGAAAGAAAGAGATACATATAGAAAAAGAGAGCGGCGCTGGCCTAAAAAGGACGAATGCTTGTTGAAGAAAGAAAAAAAGAAACGCTGAGCCAATCATTCTTCGTTAATCGCACTCTCTTATCGCAATTCTGGCGCGAGAAAGATATACGAAGGTATATATTCGTTGTTCTTATACATCACTACGTTCGCAACGACCGTAACTGCAGGATCGAAAATATTTTCAGTTAGGATCAGGTAAGTTTCTCTCGAAGATAAAAACAATATATTGTATATTAAAATGTGTTCGGTATAAACAGTAATAAAAAATCTGAAAAATTTCGAAAAACGAAATATTATGTATATGTATATCAATACACATTAATAGCTCCTTTATTAGATATCAGATTTATTGGGTTTTCTTCGTCTATGTTTTTTTTTATGCTTTGTTACAACCAAAATACGTTTACTTAATTTCACGTGTAAAAAGTGCAGCTCAGATGAACAAACTGTTGCTTTTCGCTATCTATCTCTTTCATAAATTTAGTTGTGTATATTATTACGTGCTCTTCACATTTTTTTCGCACGTTACAGATCAACTTGTAAGTGTCCTTTGTTGTTATGTTTATATACGTAGCACGTAACATGCGAGCACGTTTATCGTTCGCGTCGGTATCATTTAGTAACGTTTCGAGTGAACAAAGAAAATTGATTTCTAGCACAATTTCAATTTTTTAAGGTGAGACAATTTTGCAAACGTTTTGCAAGACGATATGGCGTATTTTGATGCCGATATGGATGCCGAGCCGATCTTTGATAGGTAAGAACAAAGTAAATAAATGCTGCTGCTTGCGAGATTTTTACGTTGCAAAATCGGAAAGAATTTTAATTTTATAGATATTTATGAAATATGGTTCTTATACATATGATTTTCATCACATTTAATTATACTTTTTATAATGTATATTATAATAACTTTGATGTAACATTTGCACAATGTATTAAATTTATATCTTATGTGTCGTTTATGTATTTTTTATGTTTATGTCTTATTTTTTATTAATTTTTATAAATATTATTTTTTTAATACAGGATGGATACAGAGTACACGATATATGTGAAAAATTTGCCATCAGAGTTAGATGAGGTATATTTTGCTAATCTTAATTATAAATTATAATTATATTGAAAATTTTTATATATATTGTGCTCTTTTTATTGATTTGATTTTTATATAATTAATTATATATTGCCTCTTATATATGTCTCATGAATTTATATATTATATATTATTTATATTTGATTGTGGGAGATATTTTATTATTCAATAATATGAATTGTGTTAACATTTAAGGTTGCTATTAAAGAAGTTTTTAATCAGTATGGTAAAATTATTGGAATGTTGTATCCTCATAATGCCACATGGGCTTGTATTACATATAAATCATATCGTGAAGCGGAACAAGCTATACGGGAACTCAATAATAAAAAACCATTATATTTAAAAGTTGCACTTGCAAAAGAAAGATCTGTTATAAGGGAGGACAAATTGCCAAAATCATATGTATCAGAAGCTTCTGGAGGAAGACCAAGAGCAATAGATACTGTTGTAGAACTACCTGTGTCTACTCGCAATGATATGAGACAGTATGTATCATTAATATTAGTCATTATTGAAAGTTATTACACAAAACAATTACTATAATTTAAAGTTTTTAAATATATTTTATATGTATTTTTTTTAATGTATATAGATGGATTATAATATATCGTAGATATATTTAAAAGATGTAAAACCATTTAAAAATCTAAGAGAGAGTAAAAAATATTTCATATAATAAATATAAATTGAGAAAATATATATATAACAAATTATTTTTATGTTTTATATATTAATAGCAAAAGATATATATAATAATAAATATGTAATTGTAGCCAAAATGGTGTGGGTCGTGGCCAAACACTGAATGCGCTTCGTAAGCATTTTGTACCACAAATGACATTGTCAGATAGATATGCAGAGAATGTACCTTTATTTTCACAAGCGTCTAATCTTTATGAAATCGAGGAACCTACTGTGAACACAAATAGATTATGGACAAGGTTAAATAAATACAATATAACAGCTATTTATACTTATGCATTATTTATATTTTTACATCGTTATTGTATTTTGTACATCTTATTTTAGAGGTGTAATAACTGTCACAGAAGATGGACGAAGACATGTATCACTTGGACGTGGTTATACACTATATGAATTTCCAGAGCAGAACCCTAAGGTTGAAGAATGCATTGTACATGTATTGGAAAAACGACATAATGTATGTCGCAATTATATATGGAATGCAAATGATACACACAAAATATATAAAACTATATAAGTTTAAAAAATTATTTTTATAAATACATATAAATATTACGATACTATTTATTATTTATTATTCTAATATTACTTAATAGTTTAGCTGTTAATATAACTTGTTTTAGAATAATATAGAGTTAATATTTTTTATTTTGCATAGGGATTATATGAATATGGAGAGGACAAACTTAAGAATGGAGTACAAAGGTGCCTTATTTGTTCTAATAAAACAAATAAACATTGTGAAAAATGTAACACATATTATTGTAGCAAAGTGTGTCAAGAAAGTGATTGGCCAAGACATCAAGTCCAATGTCAACGGATACCGTAATTACATTTACATACATTAATTAGTAAACATGTTTATAACATTATAACAAATTGTTATATGTAGCAATTAAAAATCATACATTTAGCTGCAGATATATGTCTGCTCCTATTATTTATATAAAATTTTTATTTTGAGATAAAAGTATTGTTTGAATGAGATTCTTATTTTATTATCTGTGATATCGGCTATCAAATAATGTAGACAAGTTTTAATATGTTAAGAACATTTGTCCATTATATTTATTCTACATTATCTATTTTTATAATACAATTAAAATTTTTAATTATATAGCAAACGGTTTTTTCTTTACAGAAGATTAGTGGAAGAACCAATTAATGACATGTCGTTATTGCAAATTAGCAAAGATGAAAACCAAACGAAGATACCATCAATGTCAAATAAAACAATTACAAGTAAAACAATTGCATCTAATGAGATAAAATTACGGCGACCTAATGCATCTAATGCAATGCAGGCAGAGAATCCAAACAGCACAAATGCAAATATTAATATGCATAAGAATAATGTGGATATTACAAACTGTTCTACCAATAGTGATATTAACAGTCAGGATAAACATATGTCTATTCATGATAATAATACTAATATATCTCACACTGAAACAATAGATCAACAAACCTTAAGTACAATGAATACTAAAGATTTTTCTAAACAAAATCAGTTGCACAGATATAATAATATTAAGGACAATACTGAAAAGTCAAGAAGAAATGATGGATATTCTTCGACAACATCTAATTTCACTAACCAAAATCATAGTCACAATCATCAAAATGGTGCTATAAAGAAGACTAATCCTCATAAAGAAAAATTCGATAATAGCAATTTAAGAAGCAAAAGTTCCAATAATGATAGAAGTCAATCTTACCAAAAGAATGAATTGCAGAATGACAGAAAATCTACTGCTTACAACGACAGAGAAATTGTCGATAGACAAGGAAGTAGCTCGAGCAATAGTATTGCGATGGACGACGATCTAGCTTTTTATAAGAATATGTATTTATCAAAAACAGAATTCACAGAAGTAGAAATTTTAATACCATTGAACAATGGCGAATATTGGATATCCACATTAAAAGATTTGGAGACGTGCACGAAACTAATGACGGAGTTACAAAGTGTTGCAAAAAAATCACGTAACGTGCAACCGATTATCGGTAATATTTATGGCGTACTTTACGAAACACTTTGGCACAGAGCTATGATAATATCCCTGAATCCTGTAAAAGTTCATTTTATCGATTATGGTAACGATGAAATACTACAAAAAGATGCTGAGATCAGAGATATATCAGATATAATTAAAGTTCCTAATCTTGCTAGAAAAATTCGCTTGACATCAGCCACAAATGAAAAGTACAGAGATTTCCAATATGGCGAGAGAATCTTTGTTAAAATGTTATCCATAGATGCTGAGAAAACGATAATAGTAGATGTGAAAGAGCAATCGAGAAAATTATCTTTACATATGGAAAATGCTTCAAATATGAATACTACAATGGAGAAATCTATACGACAAGAAAACTTAAAAGTATCAAATGAAAATATAAAGGCTTCCATGGCTCAGACACCACCTACTATCTTAGATGGTTTCGCTGATTTGTTCAGCAAAAAAGCGATTCCGGAATTAGAATTTGTGGGTTTCATTCAAATTTACGAATCTGTCCAAGAGAATGTCTATAATGCAACTTTGGGCCCCCAAGATTTTACTGCTGAAATCGAGGCGATTTTCAATGAGTTGCAAGAGGAGTGCATGAAAACACAAGAATCTGTGCATTATATGTAAGCGCATTACATATGTATACACAAATATATTGAACTATTTTACATTAATTAATATTAAAGATCTGTAAAAATCCATTTACTATATATTATATATAAATATTACATATGCACAGATAATTGGAATAAATAGAAATATTAATTTTTTTAGTCCACGAGTAGAAGATTTGATTTGTGGTGAAGGGAAGGATGCCTGGTGTAGGGGATATATCTTACCATCTTCGACATCATCCGATTTACATATTATTGCAATAGATGAAGCTAAATATATGAGTGTAAATAAAATTTTACCATGTCCTAAAAGATTCTTAAATATTCATGCTACTGGAGTAATATGTGAAGTAAGCCATCCTAACAAATTGACAGTGAGTATCTTTATATAAATACTTTATATATCATATAAAATATTGCTCATATACGCGTGTGCATATGCATACATGTATACGAAAATATTTTGTTGTATATGCATGCTAAAATACTGTAAAATTTGTTTTATACAGATTGTTTAATAAGATAATTATTAAAAATCTACACACTAAATTTCTAAAAAATGTAAAGAAATAATGAAAACTATTTTAAAGAATATATACTATGCTCTATAATAATTGTAGAATAGATTATATACTTTGCTTATGTGTGTTATCCAATTTATCATTTAATGTTGTTGCAAGGCGGGAGAAATATATCAATTCACAACAATCATGAATGAACAAAACCACAAGCAAGAAAATCTCAAAATAAAAATATTTAAGGAGTCTGAATTTGTATGTGAAGCTATGATGAAGTCCTGGAAATTTATGACAAAGTCGTCATTTCCTGCATTTTCCGAAATAAAAAGTGGATCTAAGGTTTGATTTTGCATCTTAAAATATCTAATCTCTAATTAAATAAAGTAATGTTTTCAATTATAGTAGAATAGCAAAAGTAAACAGATACATCCAAAGAGATATAAATAGTTTTTTAACAATACTATGCAGAATCAGATTTCTATTTGTTATGTAAAGAAATAAAAAGATATATATTTGAACAATGAGAGAAAGCTGTTTACTTACCCCACTCTAGTTTATGTATACTAATGAAGTAGATTGAAGTTGATTCCATCATTTTCGTTGATTATTTTAGATATGTTTCACCAGTTATCGAAATCATTATCAAGTATTTGCGCGTTCTTTGGATGAAGAGGCAATAGAATATTATAACAATATTATGCAACATGTTGCACAATGTGCACGAACAGGTAAAATAACTGAACTAATTAAATAACATAATAGGATATGTTGATAAATTGTTTTATCCTCATTGTAGCACCGCGTCTATCCGATCCTCCATATAATAAGCAAGCAGTCATCGCGCCATTCTCTGATAACAATAGTTATCGCGCGTTGGTCATAAACACGCAGAATGATAAGGCTAAAATAGTATATACAGATTTTGGAAATGTGGATGATGTTGACATAAGAGACCTTCAAGTTTTGCCAGAAACCTTGGCACTGGTTGGTGACATTCTAATATACGCAACAAAAGAATCGTAATAGCTCGTTAAATATCGGTTTAATTTCTTTGTCTATATTTTTTATAGCAACGAAGTTGTTCAGCAAAGATAAGTTTGAAAAATGTCCCTTCTGAAGTTTCTATGAACACAGAAGTAGATCTTTTCCTTCGCGAGTTGGTAGGCAACGAAACATCCCTGATATGTGCATATGAGGGTGATCCATTGAAAGATGGAGTTCATTTGACGTTGCCTACAGGAGAAAGTGTTAACGATAAGATAAACCAATTATTGACACCAACTTGGAAACAAACGGACCATTGTGGTAATTAATTGTAAATTATAAGTCACGTCTAGAAAGTAACATTTTATTCATTCAAATATTTGAATATGAAGATTTTAAATATATCACTTTGTTACCTAATGTGATCTTTCAATATAATCTTCTTAATTTCAGTATGTAAAATACTATTCAACGAAATTAGCCGAAAAAATATATTATTTTTTCTTTATATTTTAATTAGCTCTGCTCCCCATTTTCACTTTATAAACATATACGTGTTTACATAATATAATTTAATAATTAATTTTATATATATACTATCACACAATACACACACACACATCATAATATATAATTTTTATATAACTACATATTAAAAATTTATCTTACAAAATAAATATTATAAAATTATTATTATTTTTTTTTATATAGATAACACTTGTTACATGATAAACGATGTAGAATTTGCCAGTTTAGGACAAGTGGGTGATATATTAAATGCATTGGTGCTACATATACCAAAAGAAGATGGTGGCACAAGATACATGATAGGTCCCTGCGATATCGAGCTGTATACTCATGTTACTGAAGTGATGCCCAAATTGGTAAATATCGCGTTAAAATGTATTTACCTTTTTGCATAATACATATGCGATAATATCTTATTTTGTTGCAGTTAAGAGAATATTGCGAGAAAACGGAATATTATATACCTCGAGAAAATGAATTGTGTTTGGCACTGTATCAGAATGAGTGGTATCGTGCAGAATGCCTCAATCCAAAAAAATCATATACCACAGCTGTAGTTTTCTACATTGATTATGGTAATATAGAAACAGTGGAACATAAGAATATAAGATTAATGCCTAAAGATTTCATTACGCCTGCGGTAATGGCAAATGTCTGTACAGTTGTCAGTAAGTATTAATTATTAATAAATTAAACACAGATTATAATTTTTCAGTTATTCAGTTATATTCTTATGTACCGTTTATTACAGATTTGGCACCTGTCGACAATGCAGGCAATTATTCACCTATCATACGAGAAAAAATAGCAGAATTAATACAAAACAATGGATCGGTTGTAAAAATTAAAATTGTGGAAATTATGGAGCAAGGAATATATAAAATTGAATTGGTAGAAGTAAAAAATACGTTAATAGAAGAAGGTCTCATATCGTCTTCGTAAAAATTTTATTTTTTACTTGCATATATTATTAAGGATTATATGATCTTATGCCAGGATTAAGATTTTATTGTTTTTATTTTAAATCGTTATATTGATTTAACTCCATTGATATTTCTTAATCTATTTTAAACAGTGGACACGGTCATATACTCGATTATGCACGAGCAATATATGCCTATTTTTATTTTGTATTTTCAATTTATCATCATGTGTTTTGCGTTTTTAAACAAACATTTGTTTTATTTTCCATGAATACATTCAATATAGTATTTCGTTTTGTTTATATAATCATTATCTTATTTTTTTTTTGCTGCAGAGCTATCTGGTTAAATATGAAAGAGCTTTGTAATTTATTAATAAAATATTAATTTTCATATCTTCATTTTCTCATTATGTAAATAATTTTCCCTATATTAGTGATTTTAAATTATTTTTATCTGCATTTTATGCAGTATCATCGATTTGTTCTTAGATCAATTAAATTTTATGTAGGAAAAAAAAAGATGGATTTATACAAAGTATATACAGAAAAATTAATTGATCATTTGCAGGGATGATATATAGCTGCATACATAGTTTATTTCTTTAGAAACATGTATTGATATAAATATAAAGATGTACCAGTTTCGTGAATGTGCAAAATGTTAGAATCATGATGTAAAAATATATATATATATTCTTACATCATAGTTAGAATCTAATATGGCTATGGCATTGAATTTCGCGACTGCAATTCCTAGGCATTTCTTATTGTTAATTTATTGTTTACGACACTACGCGTGACGTTATTATACGCAATGGTACACTTATATTTACATCATATATACAACTACGTGTTCCAAAATTCGCTGCCAGTACTGAAAATCTATAGTTCACGTAACGCATATTATAGATTTCCAGTATTGGCAGTGAATTTTGAAACACGGCCTATGTAAATATGTCTGGATAAATTTATGTCGCGATTTCTTCTAACCTATCTTACAACAATCTTATCCTAACCTTCCTGAATGTGTCACTTGAGACTTGAGTACGATTGTGTTAGTTCAGATGACATATCTCCCGAAGAAACCCCGCCGTTCGCAGAATAAGAGGCTTCCAAGATTAAAAGCAGCGAAAGCAAAACAATGAACGTACAAACAAGACATCCCTATGAGGGTCTACTGCACAAATACACGAATGCTATGAAAGGCTGGCAGTATCGTTGGTTTATTCTGAGTCCTGAGACCGGTGAACTACATTACTTCCTCAGTGAATCTGAGAAGAATCAAAGGCCACGGTGTTCGATATATTTAGCAGGCGCCGTAATAGCTCCCAGCGATGAGGATTCAAACACGTTTACCGTCAATTCTGCTACCGGTAAATATCCGATGTTTAACTTACAAGTTTATTGTTATACACTAACTTATTTTTCGTATAATTTTGCATGTGATAACGATAGATGTTTATTAAGATTTTAGCTTTCAAGTTTATGATATATCCCTCCTCATCTAGGCGATATGATCAAACTTCGAGCCACTGATGCACGAGCACGTCAGGAATGGGTGGATAAACTACGAGCAGTTACAGAGATGTATACCAGAGCTATAGCCAGCAGCCATCCTCCGTTGCCGCCTCGAGAACATTCTGGGAATTCGAGCAGGAATCCTGTCGTTAAGCTGGAAGTGCTGGACGCTTTCGCTAATTGCCAGGAGCAATTAAGAAAAGTGGAGAAACACAATCTTGCTCTAGCACAATCGATTGAGAACTCGGATTTGCATCTGGATTCAGATCTCTTAGTTCTTAAAGCCATGGCACATACCACCTTGCATACACTAAGCCAATGTCTGAATATATTATATCAATAACAAATTAATCATATATATTTTTTATGCTTACCTATTAATATTAAAATCTTTTTATACCTGTAGAAATACACATACATAATAGATTATCTTCCTATTAAGAGGTCCGTATATTTTTTATTTTAAACAATTATTTATACTTATCCATTATTATAGATCTGGCTTTTTTCAGATAATCCTATATAATTTATTAAAAGCAAAATTGATATATTTCTTGTCATTACATCTACATCATAAACAATTTTAATAATTAGTTAATTCAATTTTCTACTAAAAATTGATTTATATTTTTTATATATCTTATAGAAAAAAAAATGCTACACGTATTATAGTAAGCTCTTATATCATTTCTATTTAACAATGGAAAAATATCGAAGTATTATAAATGTCATTTTAAATTTATTTGATCAAATTTTCATTGTAGATTCTTTAAAAGATTATATATTAATACATTATATAATCATACATTATATTAAAAAAAACAAAAATTTTTTTATATTGACATTTTTCTGTTTCCTACAACCTTATTATATATGATTTAATTTATTTTTCTATCTTGTCGATTAATGCATTCAGAAATTATATCGTTTGAATTCGGCCTAGTCAATGATAATCTTGGTGCATGTTCTTCCAACTTTAAAATGTACAATCAAAAATATAAGATATATATATATACATATACACACACACACATGCATATGTACATATATAGATAGATAGATTGTCCTAAAATATAATAATTCTGTTAAGGCTCTTTATGCAAAACATGTATGTATCTAAAATTTATTTTGCAAACTAATTATAATGTTTTTTTATTTTGTTCTAAATAACACTTGTTTTGTTAGGATATCAAGTGATGAAAGCCAAGTATATATGTAAGATATATTCTCACGTTTGTCTTATAAAAAAATATATATTAAAACAATTATTCTCTTATAATTCTATACAATACAATTCTACATTAGCATATTTTATAATTTTTTCTACTATGAAATAAAATAATAGAAAAATAAAAGAAAAAAATAATTTGTTTAATTAAAATCTTACTATCTTTTATTTTCTCTCTTCATATATTATTATAAAAGAATTATCATTATATACTAATATATTGTAATACGATAGCTATAAACACGGAATTGATCGTTTTCGTTGAAAATATTTTATTTCTAAAAAATACATTACAGTAAAAGGGAGAGAAACGATATGTTCACCATCATCGTGTGACGTAAGATTCAATGTCAAGAGCGCGCAAATAGGTGAAGGTAAACGAGTAACTTTTCTCTCTCGTCAGGAGATCAGACGTGATCAGTTCCAAAGTAATAGCAATCTTGCTCAAGATGCTTTGAAGATCAAAGTGGATTGATACATCACGCATGTCGAGCGATAAGTTAACACCTTAATAAATTGCGATTTATTTATGTCTGAAGACTTTTAAAATATTGATTCATTCTCCTGCGTTGTTAAAAAGAATTTATATTATAGAATATGGAGTGATTTTTCCGTGCGAATAATTGTATAGCATGCCACGTATCTCTTATCCCGAAGTACTGACGGAAGCGGCAGGCGTGAAGATCGTAACATCTCCACCCGAAGAAGATGCGGATTTCTTTCCGCCGGGAAAGATAGTTCTTAAAATGCGGAAAATAAACGCAACACCGGACGTGCATGGTAAATCTTGCGGATTCCATTTGACCAAGTCGAAATGGGATCCATATCCATGGATCGGCTATGTTGAAAAGAATAGTCCCGCCAATTTAGCAGGATTGAGGTGAGTGTTATCTATGCCTTTTAAAAACTATCAATAGAATAGAAGTAGTAATTGCTTTAAGATTTTTGATATATCATTAACATAATATGTAGTCGAAATACGACAATTTATAATTACACGATAAATGTTAAATTTTATATTGAGAAAATATATAAAGTAATTTCATTTGTGATTCATACAATTCATTTGCCATATTCAGAACCGGCGATTGTCTGTTGGGCATTGACGACATCGATTTATTGGGATTAAAAATCAAAGATATCGCTACTTTAATTCGTAGCGAGGAAGGTGCACACGATATAAATTTTTCCATCTGGCGATACCCGCGTCAAAAAGAGGAACATGATATTGGAATAGCCTTGAAAGGTCCACTTCCGGATGTGGCCAGGAATCTTGCAAACGCTTTATCAGGAACGGTATATATCAACTTTTTTCTGTTTTTCTTTCTCATTTGTATAGATTACTCATCTGTTAGATTAATATTATAATTAATTATTAGCCTAAGAGACTAATCCAGCGTTAAATCCTAAACAGTAACACAAAAAGATAATATTTTTCCTTTCATTGAAGGATAATGAACTTTAATTATTTATATCATACACATACATACACACGAAAAAAATCAAATTGTTCATGTTTTTTTAGGTTCGTTCCTTGGAATGCCCGATTTGTTTGGAAAGCGCTGCACCTCCAGTCTCGCAATGTGTTCATGGTCACATTCTGTGCGTTATTTGTAGACCGAAAACATCTCGTTGCCCGGTTTGCAGAGTCCGTTTGGGCCAAGGCCGATGCCTCCTCGCAGATAAATTGCACATAGTGCTTCGCGATGCTTTTAATGTGAATAATGATGAGACGTTAAACAAGACACCTGTTGCATCCGAGCATTGTAACTTACGCGATCAATTATTCGGTAAAAATAATAAAAAACAAGAAACCTCGGTCCTAAATCGCTCGAAAAATAATTGTACTATGTTGAAACCGAGGCAATTCTTGTTGGCCAGATTGTTACTCGGAAGTAGGGAAAAAGCTATTTCCGCGGATAATCTATCCAGAGTATCCGAAATTTCGGAAGGAGCAGCTGCGATTTCCAATGAAATGACAGACGCCAATAGTTTACGATTGTCTTTGAATGATCGCACCAAATCAGCCAGCACCGGCGAGTTGTCAAGGGACAGCGAAGCTCGCATCAATGAATCGTCTTCGCAAATTGTGGAATTATCCGCAACGAACACCAGTCGACAATCGTTGAGTTTACCGCAGACGCCAATTTGGGGCAGCTCCACGGATTCTATGTCTTGTGTACAATTGACATGTCCTCTTTTGCAATCTTGCAGAGAACTAGTAACGGCTGACTCGCTGTTGGAGCACATCAGGACACACGCGCTACCGCAAATTCATTTCTATTCCGGAAGCGCAAGGATTCCGCTACCGCTTCCTTTCGGACAAAATGCTTTTTATATATTTCACCATGGAAGCAACATATTCTTCTTTCAGGTATAATACTTCTGTTTTCAATATGAATTTCTTTCTACGTTTGTATTAGGTGTAAAGGATATTTTATTTGTTTGCGATTAAATCCTCTGTTTTAAGGTGATAGAAGACGAAATAAATTCGAAGTTCATATTTCCATTCAAACTCATGTTCCTGTTGGTGTAGAAATTATATTTATTAGTTTTTAATCATTGATCAAATAAATAATTAAATATTTATGAACGTTCGGTTTTTTTCTGAAATATTTATATGCATCTATATTGTATGCAAAAGCAAAATAAGAAAAGATAGAAAATGTATCTAATATATGAGATAAGAAATCTGATCGTGTGTATATATATATATTATAATATAAGTAATCAATAGAATGACACATCAACATCTTGGAAGTATTGCAAAGAATTAATAATATTATATAATATATTATGTTTTTTATATAATAAGATATTTGAATGTAAAAATATATCTCTTATGAAATTATTAGACTTCTTATGTTATGAAAATTCATATTCTATTTTGAAAACAGAAAAACTGCATTATATAGTTGGCAATATAAGCGAGAATGCATATAAAATGTTTCCTTGAAACTAATGTAAAAATCATTTTTTCTTTTTTTTTATATAATTTGTAGTGCAGAGAGGAAACAGCGTGGATGACATATCCTGTTAAGATGGCAGGATACGCAATAAGCAACACGTGGGAATGGACATTGCACGCTTGGGGCGACAACGGTACAGAGGTGCAATTACGAAGATATGTTGCGAGTCTCGAGGATCCTTTAACATTATCCTCACAACATGTCGCACCATTACCAACTGCATTATTATTGAAGACTATTAACATACAAATATCGGAGCACTCAGCTCACGATAGATTATATGTATGAAAAGAACAAAGCATATCCGTCCTTAATTATATTTATCTCATTGGCAATTAAGTAAAATGTGTATTTAAAAAATTTGTTTTTAAAAAAGTAACAAAATCGTTTATTTCTTATTGATGTGCCAAATTAACAAGTGAAGAACACATCGTAATAGTATGTTATCTTGAATATAAGATATAAGTAACAGATTAAAATCTCTTATACATATGACACATGCATTGAGAGTAATATTATATCGTACGAAATAAAAAAATATCAATATATGATATTTAACATGCAATAATGACCTAATTTACTTAAAATTATTGATATTCATGATATAGATCTGCATTCATGATCTTCTTCATAGTAATGCTTTAATACAATTTCTATTTCACAGGATAAAAGTGCTTTTTATTAAATTTAAATTGTTATTAAATCTTTGCAAAAAACAATCATCAATGGCATGCTACTTAATTTCTGCTGTTTAAGGATTACTAGCTTGATCATATTTCATGAACATCAATTCTCAATTATATAATAAAATCACACAAATGTAGGTACTACTTTTAAAACGTAAAAAAGAAAATAAAACAAAGAAAAAAAGAGATTAAAACTTATAACAGTAAAACATCTTTTTCTGCCAAATATGAAATTATAAAAAAAGTTGGAACTTTGAGGTTTTTATGGCATTTTGCGCAATATCTCATCCATATATGGTTTAAAAAATTCATGTTGACCAGTTCTCGCCGCTTGACCGGCCATAATATCAAACGCATTCTTAAGAAGTTGCAAATAGTTATCTTTGCCAACAATATTTAAATCAACTTTATAAACGTGCATGTCACACGAAGATCGCATCCTTTTACCAGATGGTAAAACAACATTATCAACTTTTCGTTTGGAAAGAGGCATTGGTGTCGATTCTGCCTGCTCCTCTTTTGATCTATCTCGTTTGGGACAACTGCATACTCTAACTAATAATTTTCGACGGCCCAAAACTGTCCCTCCATAATCTTCTAAAGTAAACACTAGCTCTGTTGGTCTACGATTCAAACCGGATGCGCAACTATTTTTGCAAAGAAATTTGAAAGATACTGGCATATATTGTGACCCAGCCTCAGGTGTGCAAAGCGGTGTTAAGATAGAAAGATGTTCATTTCTCTCTTGATAGATGCTTGAAGCATGATTAACACAATGAACCACATGTTTAATCCTTTGCGGATCTATGTTATGATTAATGGGATTGGTTGGTGCCATATGATTGTGGCATCTTTTTACTGGATCACTTCTGTACTGCTCCAACATAAAAACCATCGCAGTGCGCAAGTACAAACCTGACATAGGTGGTTCCCATGTGAATCGCATAGGTAAAACTTTCTCCATTTTGATAAAGACTTTGTCCAATGCTTCAGAGTACTATATGCAAAAAATAAACAACACAGTTATTTTATAATAAAAAATAATATATAATATA